ATTTTCATCGATTTTCAGATGCAAATAATTTTCACTTTCTGTGAATCGCAACTAATAGATACAATATGTACCTTTTTGTGTTTTCTTTTTTTTTTTTTTTTTCCCATAAAGTTTATTAATAAACTCAGAGCATACAATAAGTACAGGTAATACAAGGTATCAGACGGAAATACAATAGGAGGTAATACACATACAGCAAACAAAAAGATACATAGCAATACATAGACAAAAAATCAGACATAAGTCATCCCAGGGAAAAGAAAACAGGGGAAAAATGAGGACATGCAAGCGCAGGAACATTAAAGGCATATCTGGTCTCAAGCCCTTATTCAGCATATTGGAATCACAGCACTGGCAGGGTCGATGATATATAACCTCAGTTACCGAGCAGAAGCAAAGAGCAGGGCCAGTGAGTCAAAGGTATGCGTTGGAAATGTATACAGTAAGTGTGGAGGGGGGGCGCAAGGGCTTGTAGGATATGGCCTTGTACTTTTGATGAAACTGAGGTAACCCACTACAGGTTGCCAGCACGTGGGTAAAGGGTTTGGGAAAGGAGATATGTAAAAGTAAAACATATGCGCAGCTGGATTGCAGATAGGGTGTAGGGCTCCTATGAGTAGAGAAGTGTACCAAAATAGAAAGGGGAGAATGAAAGCTAAACTCTGAGTAAGAAAGCAGAGAAATGGGGATTAAGAATTTAAGAATAAGCATGAAAAAGAAGGGAAGAGAGGAGAAGAAGAAAAAAAAAAGCGGGGGGGGGGGTAGGGAGATGGGATGTTGGGGAAGGGTCGGATGGGGAGGAGGAGTGGAGGAGTAGGAGTTTAAGTAAGTCACCTTTACTCAAGACTCCCAGAACATGAGAGATATGCGCAACCCTGGCAGAGAAGCGAGCTGGGATAGTTGCAGTCGTAGCAGGGTGCCAAGCGCAGCTTGCTCCAGGCAGTACAGGACATCGAGACAAAGGACCTCAATCACAACCTTGAAAAAACAGAGAGCTGATATATCGCCAGAAACACTACGGGGTATCAGAGAGATTCAGAATCAATCAGCAAGGCCCATGAAAGAACGATATTCAGGGGTCATTTGGAAGTGAATCCAACAGGACCACGTATGAGAAATTTAGTAGGGTTATCCAGAGAAGAAGCAATCAGCTCTTCCATTTCAGCAATTCTGTTCAAGCGTATGAACCAATCTCGCACTGTTGGGGGGTGAACAGACCCCCAGAGAACCGGTAAGCAGAGTATAGCCGCATTAAGCATATGCATAGCCAGAGATTTGAAATATAGACATTTGGGAAGTGGAGTGTGGTGGAGGAGGAGTTGGGCTGGAGAGAACTCAATATCAAGAGTAGTAGACACCGAAGAAGTAATCCAATGTACCTCCTGCCAAAAGGGCTGAACCATAGGGCAGTCCCACCAGATATGAAGAAGAGATCCAACAGGAGCCCCACATCTCCAACAATTACTAGGTCTGGATGGAATAAAATGATGGATTCTAGAAGGTGTATTGTACCAACGTGTCACCAACTTGTATCCGTTTTCTTGTGCCGAAACATTCAAGGAGCACTTATGAGAAAAGGTAAAGATTTGGTCCCAATCAGAGGAAGAAAAATCAATGTTTAAGTCTCTTTTCCAAGCTTTGCAGGCGGGAAGTGAATCAGAGGTTCTGCCACCAAGAAGAAGCAGATAGGTAAATGAAACTAAATGCCTCCGTGGTTCAGCCTTTGAACAGAGTGACTCAAAGGAGGTGAGAGGGCAGACCCATTTATGGCGATATGCAGGAGAGAGAAGAAAATGTCTGATTTGAAGATAGGCCCAAAAGGGAAAGGTTAGATCACCCATAGTACTTGCCAGGGAACAACAAGTCTTCAGCTGACCTTTGTGAAAAAAAATGGTTCGCCAATACTTGACTGTGTGGCCAATGTGCTGATGGAAAGGACATATGCATACTGGGAGGGAAGTCCAGATTGAGGCGAAGAAAAGTTAGTGGGTTGGGGGCATCCAAAATGGAGGCCTATTTACAGACTAAGCGAAAGGTTTTAAGGGAAGGACCGATTATTGGATGTAGGAGGAGGTCTTGAGGAATGTGTTTGGTCAGAAGCCACGGGGTCGATGCCAAAGGGGAAGTGGAACAAGAGTGTTCCAGCTGGACCCACGCTTTGGTGGTAAAGTGAATATTCCAATCAATTATCCTAGTAAGATGGCAGACCCGATGGTAAAGTTGCAGGTCAGGTAATCCAATCCCCCCTTTGGATTTGGGGAGCACAAGTTGGGAGAAGGAAATACGTGGCCGTTTATGATTCCAGAGAAAAAGAGAGCACATTCTTCTACATGAAACAAAAAAGGTGGGTGGTAAATGGATAGCTAAGGTTTGAAATAGATAGAGGAGGCATGGGAGGATATTCATTTTTAGTATAGCAGCCCTACCAAACCAGGAGAAGCATGGACGATGCCACCTAGTTAGGTCTGCTCGGATGGCACCCAGGGTTGGAAGAAAGTTTTTCACATAAAGATCAGAGAGGTTACTCATAAGCTGTATTCCCAGATAGGTAAGGGAGTCCGTTTCCCATTGAAACGGGAACTGTGACTGACAAAAGGAAACCAGGTCTGGAGGAAGAGTAATGTTTAAGCCATAGGATTTGGAATTATTAATTTTGAGGTTCGAGATATATTGAAAAAAGGAAAAATCTTTAAGTAGGTTGGGCAAGGTGATCCAGGGCTCCGTCGAAAACAAAAGCATGTCGTCTGCGTAGGCAGCAAGTTTGTATTCCTTGTTCGCCACAGAAATACCCCTGATATCTGAGTTTTAGTAACAATGGTTCTAGTGATATCACAAAAAGAAGCGGGGATAGGGGGCAACCTTGGCGCATACCATTCCTAAGAGGGAATGGATGAGATAGATGCCCATTCACACGGACCTGAGCCATTGGACCAGAATACAGTGCCATAATGAAATTGAGCATGGTGTTCCCTAAACCAATGGCCTGTAGGGATGCCTTTAAGTAATCCCAGGACACCCTAGCAAAAGCCTCGGCATCTAGGGAAAGAATAAATCCTGGACTGCGAGAATCGTGAAGCCGGTGGAGAAGGTTAAGAGCCTTGATGGTGTGATCCCTTGCTTCCCTTCCCAGGATGAAGCTCACTTGGTCAAGGTCAATCAGGGAGGGTAACAAGGGAAGGTAACAGTTGGCTAGGATCTTTGCATAGATTTTGATGTCTACGTTCAAAAGAGAGATGGGTCTGTAATTGGTAACCAAAGTGATATCTTTACCTTCTTTGGGGATGACAGTGATATGAGCTTCCAGGAGGCAATGATGTTGCGTGGAGGGTGAAGAGAAAGTGTTGAAGGCAGAGTGGAAGGGTCCACTCAAAATATCTAGAAACTCCTTGTAATATGCCACAGAAAGACCATCAGGGCCCAGGCTTTTACCACGTTTCATTTGCTGGACGGCTCGGGAGAGTTCCTCCGCCGTGATATGATGTTCCAAATCCTGAACAGTATCATCAGGTACAGTGGAAGGACTATAGAGGCGAAGAAAGTCAGAGATTAGGGTGTCTCTAGGCTTATTGACCTCAGAAGGGCGACATTCTGGAGGGAGATTGTATAATTTTTTCTAGTATTGCTCGAAGTGAGATGCTATATTCGCATTTGAGGTGGCCAGAGAGCCATCTGAGCCCCTAATCTTGTGAACCGTTAGACTCGACTTTTTTGTCTGGAGGGATCTGGCTAAGAATCTCCCGCTTTTGTTAGCAAACTCATAAAAAAAAATTTTGCGACAGAATGAATCTGCTCTTAGCTGCCTTGCCTAGTTCGTTTAAGAGCTGTGTGTGGGTGTCCGTAAGATCAGATAAAGTCGAGGAGGCCTGATTATGTTTGTGCGCCTTTTTGCAGGAATTTAATGCGATCTAAGAGTTGTTGTAAGCGAGTCTGTCTCTCTTTTTTACGTTTTGTGGCCATAGCTATTAGGACTCCTCGAATGATGCATTTATGTGCCTCCCATTGAGTTAACGAAGAGGTATCTGGAGTTTGATTGTTCGAAAAGTAGCCCGCTAATTGGGAGCGAACCTCTGCTTCATTGACTTAGTCAGAAAGAAGAGAGGCATCCAAACGCCATATCTTATAACGGGAATGTTTCTCTGAAAATCGTAATGTCATAGTGATAGGGTGATGATCAGAGAGGATAATCGGTTCGATGAAAGAATCATGAAGGAAAGAGAGGTCAGCTTGCGTGATAAAGAGGTAATCGATTCTGGAATATTTGTTGTGTGGAGGGGAGAAAAATGTATAGTCTTTGACATTCGGATGGAGGACTCGCCAAGAGTCGTGAAGTTGCAGATCTTGAAGTTGAGTGTGGATCTGTCTAATGGATTTATATGGCAAGAAAGAGCTTCAGAGGAAGAGTCCAATAAAGGGCATAGGGGAATGTTAAGATCACCTCCCAAGATGAGGATACCCGTCTTGAAGGAGGAGAGTGAAGAGGTAATGGAGCGGAAAAAGGATACCTCCGAGATAACCAGAGGGAGGTGCTTTGCAATCAAAATGGCAATGCCTTTAGATTTAGCATGAGGGTTAGGAGCATGATAAACTGTCGGAAAACGGGAGTTAGTAAGCTTGGGTATGGCATCGTGACGGAAGTGCATTTCCTGAAGAAAGACAATATCCGCTCTCTGTTTAAAAAGGTGCAAAAGCAGGAGAGAGCGATTTTCAGGGGTATTCAGACCCTTCACATTAATAGACAGAACTTTCAGCGAAAGATGCCCAGACAGGGAGTTGAGAGAAGGTATGTGTCAGGGATCTCCTCGATCCCCGTCGCGATGGTCCCGGCGCAGGCGCAGTGCACCGCCCTGTGCAGGGACACGGGCACTAGGTCCGGGCCGGCCGCGGCGTTCGAGTTCGCGCATGGGCAGTAGAAGCCGCGGCCGCCCGCTGGGCACCAATGGCAGCGCAGGGCGGGATATTTAAATGGCCCTGAACTGTCATTCAGTGCCTTCTGGTCTTTCCTGCATCCTGTGATTCTGCGAACCTGTGCCCTGTAAGTTATTGACCCGGATTGTACCTGACCTTGCTAATTTCTTCTGTCCTGACCCTTGCTTTGCCTGACCTCTCTCCTGGATGCCCCCTTTTGAATTTGACCTGCTGTTGCTGACCTGGCGTGTGACCCAACCATTCTCTGCCCCGCTGCCCTGTACCTTACCGTCCTCTCTGTTACCCGACCCGGCCCGTCTGACCTTGCTCATCCATCCATCCGCCCATCCCTCGCAGTGGGGTCTTCTAACCTCCTCATATCAGACTCTTTCCTGTGGGAGCCCTTGGCGCATACCACTACCACTGACGGACGTACCCAGTAGCCACGACCTGGTCTCGGGGGGCTCCAAGTCCATCCCCACCATCAGGGGCCCTGGTGAACAAGCACTCTGGGACTTAGATTCCGTGCGCTGGGGACGCCTATTCAGTGGAGTGCTAGTGGTACCGCCGGGTGGTCCCTTACAGTACCAGAAGGCCATGACTGAGTCTAGAGGAGGGCCCTCTCCGCTTGAGGAGATCTGCAGGCACCTATCTAATTTGATACAGGCCGTATCGGCCCTGCAGGACAGATGTCTGCAGATTGAGAACCAGTTCCAGACCTGCACTATATCCGTCCCTGCCCCACAGGCCGCGGTCCCAGCACCCCCGGCCGTAGCAGCCCCTGTGCCAGCTTCTGGGGCTTCCGCACCACTCCCGGCGGCCGAACCCCGAGTACCCTTACCAGAACGTTTCCACGGGGACCACACACGCTTCAGGTCGATCCGTGAGTCCTGCCTTCTCTATTTTGAATTACAACCACGAACCTTTGTGACTGAATCCGTGAAGGTGGGGTTCGTCATCTCCCTCCTGCAGGGTGAACCCCAAGACTGGGCCCACCGACTGCGGGGAAAGAATGACCCTCACCTAAGTTCGGTTGACAATTTTTTTGACGCAATGGCTATCCTATACGACGACCCACAACGGGCAGCTTCTGCTGAAGCTACTTTGTACACGCTCGAGGGGCGGAGGAGTACGCGTCTGAGTTTAGGTGTTGGATGGGGGACACACGCTGGAACGAGTTTGCACTTCTGCATCAGTTCCGTATAGGCCTATCAGAAGGCCTGAAAGATGAGCTCGCCCGGGTAGAGGTGCCTGAGACTTTAGAGGACTTAATTGCGCTGACCATTAAGATTGACCGTAGACTGCGGGAACGCAGGTTTGAGAAGTCCGGTCAGGGTCATGGAAATCCCTGGGGGTCATTTCAAGGTCCCAGCAAAGCAACTAGGCCAAACTTCCAGAGCCGGCCACCTGGAGATATCCCTGAACCCATGCAACTCGGCCTGGCATGGCCTAAACTATCTCCAGAGGAACACCAGCGCAGACGATCCCAGAACCTGTGCCTCTACTGTGGTGAAGCTGGTCATATGGTACGATCCTGTCCGCAGAAACTGAGTAAGTGCACCTCTTCTTCTTCCTTGTCCATTGGCAATGTTAGTCCATCCCAATACTTAGTGGTGCCCCTTTCCTTTCAGCTTCCAGAAAGGACCGTGGAGGTGACGGCCATAGTTGATTCGGGGGCATGCAGCTGCTTCTTGGACATTAATTTTGCTCACCAGCAGGGTATTCCCCTCCAATTAAAACAGAAAGGGTTCAATATATTTTTGGCCGACGGTTCAAGGATAAAATCGGGGGTAGTGAACCAGGAAACCCCCTCCATCGCCACTGTCATTGCCGGCCAGCACCAGGAACTCCTCCGCCTGGATGCTATAGCTTCACCCCTTTTCCCAGTCATTTTGGGGCTCCCATGGTTACGGGCCCATAACCCCCAAATTGACTGGGAGACTGGAGTAATCTCGTTCCCTTCCCCATACTGTCGGATACACTGCCGCACTTCGGGCCTGGGGGTCCCCCAGTTCCTCCTGTGCTCTGAGGGGGATGCCGATTTAAAACAAGTAATCCCTGCAGCCTACCATGAGTTTCTGGATGTGTTCAGCAAACGGGGAGCCGATACTCTACCCCCCCACCGCCCATATGACTGTCCCGTTGACCTGTTACCCGGCTCAGAGATTCCTTTTGGGCGAATCTTCCCCCTTTCGGAACTCGAATTGGGGGCCCTGAAGGAATATATCGAGGACAGCCTCCAGAAGGGGTTCATCCGCCCCTCCACTTCTCCGGCAGGTGCGGGAATTTTCTTTGTTGAAAAAAAGGACAAAACCTTAAGGCCGTGTATCGATTACCGGGAGTTGAACAGGGTCACAATAAAAAAACCGTTACCCACTGCCATTAGTACCGGAGTTATTCCAAAGTTTAAAAGCAGCAGTGGTTTTTACAAAGCTGGATTTGAGGGGAGCGTATAACCTGGTTTGCATAAGGGAGGGGGACGAGTGGAAGACGGCATTCCGCACCCGCTTCGGCCACTTTGAATATTTGGTCATGCCATTCGGGTTGTGCAATGCTCCGGCCACTTTTGAATGATATTTTTAGGGACTTTCTGGATGTCTTTGTTATCGTCTATTTAGACGACATTTTGATTTTCTCCCCTTCTTTGGGGGAACACAGAATACATGTAGCAAGGGTATTGGGGCGATTGCGGCAGCATGGGTTATACGCCAAGGCAGAGAAATGTTGCTTCGAACAATCCAGCATTACTTTCTTGGGCCTGATTATCTCCACTGCGGGGGTCGCGATGGATCCTCAGAAAGTCGCTGCAATACTGGATTGGCCTGAACCCACGGACAGGAAAGGCATCCAACGATTTATCGGTTTTGCAAACTTTTACCGGAAGTTCATCAAGAACTTCTCGGGTCTGGTCTCCCCCATTACTCAGCTAACCAAGCTTGGAACTCAGTTCAGATGGACACCAGAGGCTCAGGAAGCTTTTGAAGCCTTGAAGAAGCTGTTCACCTCGGCACCCATTTTGGGTCACCCAGACGCCGCCCTGCCCTACATCTTAGAGGTGGATGCATCGGAGAATGCAGTAGGTTCCATTCTTTCCCAGCGGAAAGGCACCAAGGAATTGCTCCATCCTGCAGCATTTTTTCTCACGGAAGCTTACCCCAGCGGAGAAGAACTATGATATCGGTGATCGAGAACTACTGGCGATCAAAACGGCGTTAGAGGAATGGAGGTACCTGCTGGAAGGCGCCGTGCACCCCATCTTGATATTTACTGACCACAAAAACCTGGAATATCTGAGGATCGCCAAGCGTCTATGCCCACGACAGGCAAGATGGGCATTATTCTTTTCGAGATTTAACTTCCACATTACGTACCGGCCTGGATCAAAGAACACAAAGCCAGATGCGTTATCACGTATGTACGAGGACGCCAAGGAGATCCCAATGCCCGACACTATCCTGTCCTCGGGTAACTTCTTGGCCCTTCAGTCGGACGTTCGTTCCAAGATAATGGAGGCGTCCACAACCATCTCTACCCCAGTCAGAGGGCCCCTCCAGAACAAGGGGGGACTCCTATGGAGGGAAGATCGGATTGTGGTGCCGGAGGAAGCCCGAACCCTGGTCTTGGGGCATTGCCATGACCACCCGATGGCGGGGCACTTTGGCCCAGAAAAGACCCTGGAACTTCTCCGACGCTCCTTCTGGTGACCGGACATGGCTAAAGATTGTAAGGGCTATGTAAGATCCTGTATCACCTGCCAGAAGAACAAGCCATCAAGAAACAAAGTTTGGGGTCTGCTGCGACCCTTACCGATTCCTGAACGACCTTGGCAAAAGATCTCGCTAGATTTTATATAGTCGAGCTCCCGCCATCGCTAGAACTCACGGCAATCCTTGTGGTCGTGGACCGCTTATCCAAAATGGCATACTTCATTCCGTTGAAGAAAACCCCCTCGGCAGCTGAGACTGCGCGAGTCTTCATTCGTGAGGTGGTAAGGCTGCATGGGGTCCCCGAAGACATTGTCTCGGACCGAGGGGTCCAGTTTACGTCAAGATTTTGGAGAGCACTGTGCAAAGCCCTGGACATCAAATTGTCCCTCTCCTCTGCGTTCCACCCTCAAACTAACGGACAAACCGAAAGGACCAACCAGACCCTGGAGCAATACTTGCGATGCTACACATCTTTTACTCAAGATGACTGGATGCCACTTCTACCCCTAGCGGAATTCGCGTACAACAACGCTTGCCATTCAGCAACGGGGCAGTCCCCGTTCTTTGCCAACTATGGTTTTCACCCCGTCTTCCTCCCAGATTTGGTCTCGGAATGCCCGGTTCCAGCAACGCAAGATGTAGTAACATTTTTCTCCGCGAACAACAAGAAACTTCAAGAGGCCATCAGTCGGGTCCAGGAAGACTACAAGAAGGCATTCAACAGGAAACGGAGGGGAGATCTGGTGTTGCGGCCTGGGGAGAAGGTTTGGTTGGCAACATCCAATCTAAACATGCTTTGCCCTTCGAAGAAATTGGGACCCAAATTTATAGGCCCTTTTTGCATTAAGCGGATGGTCAACGAAGTAGCCTACGAACTCATCCTTCCTGACACACTCAAGATCCACCCAGTCTTCCATGTGTCCCTGCTGAAGCCAGTGATCCCAGATGCCTTCCCTGAATGAGAATCTAGACCCCCGGAGGCCATAACGGTCGAGGGAGAAGAAGAATTTGAGGTAGAAACAATCCTGAAGTGCCGAAGGAGGGGGGGGCCAGACCCAATTCCTTATCAAATGGAAGGGCTATGGCCCTGAGGACAATTCTTGGGAACCAGCCCATAATGTCCATGCACCCAGACTTGTCCGGAGGTTTTTTTCGCGATCACCCGTGGTGGAGAGATCGGGTGGCATCCGGAGGTTGCCCGTAGGGGGGGGCAATGTCAGGGATCTCCTCGATCCCCGCCACGATGGTCCCGGCGCAGGCGCAGTGCACCGCCCTGTGTAGGGACACGGGCACTAGGTCTGGGCCGGCCGTGGCGTCGAGTTCGTGCACGTGCAGTAGAAGCCGCAGCCGCCCACTGGGCACCAATGGCAGCGCAGTGCGGGATATTTAAATGGCCCTGAGCTGTCATTCAGTGCCTTCTGGTCTTTCCTGCATCCTGTGATTCTGCGAACCTGTGCCCTGTAAGTTATTGACCCGGATTGTACCTGACCTTGCTAATTTCTCCTTTCCTGACCCTTGCTTTGCCTGACCTCTCTCCTGGATGCCCCCTATTGGATTTGACCTGCTGTTGCTGACCTGGCGTGTGACCCAACCATTCTCTGCCCACTGCCTTGTACCTTACCGTCCTCTCTGTTACCGACCCGGCCCGTCTGACCTTGCTCATCCATCCATCCGCCCATCCCTCGCAGTGGGGTCTTCTAACCTCCTCATATCAGACTCTTTCCCATGGGAGCCCTTGGCGCATACCACTACCACTGACGGACGTACCCAGTAGCCACGACCTGGTCTCGGGGGCTCC